CTATTTTAAAATTATTATTTTATTAAAACTGTAATTTTAAGTTCCACATAACTTATTTTTATGTTTAAATAAATTTCAATATTATTTGAAAAAAAAAAACTCAAAATTAAATTCCATGTAACTTTTTTAAAAACAAATTTCATGAACTTGCAGAAATGATCTTTGATACTACCACCTTTTTATGCAATGAATTCAATAAATAAGTTCAACTCATACCATAAGACATATTATTAAATCAGTGGTAAAACATATGTCAAAATACGGTTTACAGATAATCGATTTGATGATATTTGAATATGTGGTGGAATTTTATTTAATATATAATGACATTCAACATATCGCTTTCAATTTTTTCACTAAATAGTTCTCAATTTTGTCTGCAATACTTTTATTATAGTATCAATATACAGTTTTAACATACCGGTTGTTACGGTATTTACTCCGGAAGACATACAATCAATAAATGCTATAATGGCAGTATTTGAAAAATATGCAATAATAATTATAAACAAATTGAAATAAATTAAGATAAACTTGTTTAATAATAAAAAGTTTTTCATTATTTATCTCTTCCTTAATTAAATTTTGGCTATGAGATTGAAAAAGTAATTGATTCGAATGAAGTCAAATCTTTAATTTGAAATAAATTCATCCCAGCCAATTATTGTTGAAAACAACACCGACGACTGTTTTAACTGGGAAATCGCGAATAATAATTGGCCGTAAATGATTTGTGTGATTTAGAAGAAGGAACGTGCTGATCTGATAAGGATGCAAATCACTGATTTGAATAAAGATCAAGGAAGAATACGTAAATCCTTTCCTGATCCTTATTGAAAGTTTACTTTACTAAGAAATCGTTGAAAAGAGGAGCTTATCTAATTTTGATAATATTCGGGACATTTGATGTTATTTGTCACAAAATTAAAATTTATCTTATTCATTAATTAATCATCGTTTAGAATAGCATCTTTCCTTAATAAGACAAAGTTTAGCATGAGAAGTGACTTTTTTAACAATTGCATAAAAAAATAAGTGGTTTATTTGGAAGCATTTTCTTTTGATTTAATTGTCTTGCAATTTTCTAGAAAAAGGTCATACATACCTACTACCTGATAGGTGAGTAATAAATCAGCACCTTCAAAGTGAATTTGTCAGATCTATTTTTTTATACCCTTAGGGAATTTTCGATGGCTTCTATTACATACTGAATTTCAGATCTTTTCATTTAATCTTCTTATGCCATTAAAATTTTACACTGAAAAATTCCACGCACAATCAATGATAGCAAAAATTATACGTTTGAATTTGAGAATTATTGTTTAATAAAGTGTAAAACATACCTTAATTTTTTATTTACCTATTCGATCTCAGTTAGATTTTTGCTTCCCATATGCGACAAATGCGTAGAAATGAATTGATTATTTGATCAGTACGAGACACTTATCATTTTGAAGTAAGAAACTTATAAATGTCATATGGTCAGATCGTAATAATCTTTACATACCTTTGTAACCATCCTTCCTAACCTTTAATGCTCTTTGCCATTTCAATTGTCACTTAAATATCCTTTCATCATGTCAAAAATTAGGGCATCATGTGGAAATTTCAACGATATGTTCCAATTTAGAAATAATTACACAACGATTTCCATTGCATAATTTTGCTAAACATATTGTAAAAAATGAATTTAAATGGAAAATGTAATTAGTATAACACTCTACTGGTTTATCATCGGCACAGCAGTTTATTGATACGTCACACTTCTCACTAATTTATTGCATTCTTTTTCGGCCCCACGAATAAAAAATATTAAAGGAATAAATTTCGAAGAATTTTAAAATAAATCAAACAAATAAATGTAGGAAAATGTTAATGTACAATACAAATGAAATTAAAAGCAAACATTTTAAACCAAACTCTTTAAAAAACTCATGATATAATTAAATTCAAAAATTTTATAAATATTTCTCATATTTCACTCAAATGCAAATTCTCCATGTAATTATTATATTCAAATTTTTTCAAAAATTATTTTCGATTTGTATATGAAGGAAGAAGTGGACGATCAAAAAGAGCATTTCATACTTGAATGGTTACTATTTTTTATCTACTGCCGCTAACAATCATTCCCTCCAATAATATGTAGTATATTTCAATTGATATTTTAAATTTTAAACATGTCTTCATCAATTCCAGATTAACCATACTTCGAGAATTCTTTTATTCTAAAACATTCCCCGAATGGCTACGGTATCGATGTAATGTCCAGTTGTCAGCAAATTTGTTATTCATATGAATATTTGCCAGTAATACGCAGAAAGGGAACGACCGATATACAAACATGCATATTATTATGTGTCGCAGGGCAATAACAAATCTTTTCAAATTTTAACGATACGGTAATTTTTGAAAACACATTGTAAAATTTTAAATTTACAGTTAAGAATGAAATTATACAATTATATTTTGAAAGAAATATCCATTCGATTTGTGAGCAACAATAATTATTTATAGTGTTAAAGGAAGTAATTTAAAATATTGAAACTCTTAGTGAAAGAGAATTGGATGATAGAAAATTAAAATTCCGATTTAAGAATTTCTTGAAAGAAGCAAACATAGGTTTTGAAAAAATATATTTTCCAGAAAAAAAATCATATGAACAAAGTTGAAAAATTCAATACGATAATATACATGTAATTAAAAGTTTGAAATGAGTAAAACGAGCTATTGAATCATTCTTTGAAAAGCACGACAACTTTTATTGTCACACTGGTTTTACAAGTAAAATAAAGCTCTCATAAATTTACTATTTGAAAAAATTATGTCAAACATAGCACTACGAAACGTTTGTTCATTTTAGTTCCTATCGCGTTTGAAGTACTCTATTTTTAAATCACATCATATAAGCTTCAGGTATTTCCAATAACTTTCTAAACACTTCTAAAAACTTTTCCGGTGGGTATCAAAAAGGATAATCATAAGCTATAAATTCCGAGTTTTGTGCAATAAATAATTTTAAATTAAACTGTAACTAAATGATTAAAACTGAAAATTAATAAATTAGTGAATTTTTTTTCAAAAAATAGCGATTTGTTTGCAAATTTTTTGCAAAATTTCCAATTCATTAACCTACAAGTAAATAATTTATTCTATTTCAACTTTATGGAATCGTCGTTGCTTGGAGACGAATGGTAATTTATATGCTTCGAGAAATCACTTGAAATATAATTCTATGATGGCATTTATAGTGGAATCACATAATAAACATTTTCATTAGAAATGAAGCTGATACAACTTCGTTTTACTGAGAATAATTTTAAATTTTCATTTCAGTAACAGTTTCGTTGTAAATTCGAATGATGGATTTTGTCCTGAGAAACTTTTTTGATTTTAAAATCAAAAAAGTAAAGCGTAAAACGAATTTTAGTAAAAGGAATTAGAGCAAAGTTTTTTCATTCCTGTTGAGCTACAATTAGCAATTGAGAAAATCACTTGATGATTTCATGAAAAATATCTAGCAGA